CGGTGGGCGCCTGTAGTCCCACCTACTTTAGAGGCTGAGGCAAGAGAATCTGTTGGGCCTAAGAGCTGGAGGTTGCTGTGAGTTATGATGCCACGGCACTCTACCCAGGGCAACAGAGTGAGACTGTCTCCAAAAAACTGCAACGTGGAATCATGTCTATGAAACTATTTCCCCCTCCTTAGATCCTTCACCATCCTCCGTTGGTAGAGACTTTTCCCCATTGAGTCCCCTACCTTTTCCCCATTGGGTCCCCTACCTCTATGCTAGAAAAGGCATATTAGGGAAACTTTTGCAAGAATTGTGTTGTAAAGGACTTTGATTTATAAATGAGCATTCCCTTTCTCTTCTGCTCTGAGCGTCTGCTTCACCAGCTGGAGAACCAAAACTGATTCAGATCCCAGTTTTATGATAGATGTAAGTCATAAGGATAGTTAATAATGATGGCAAGGATTCTTCAGCTTATATTTTTGTTGGGCTTTTGGCTTTTCAAACCATCTTAATGTTTTCCCATTCAGTGCTTACAAGTTAGGAATATTTACGAATTCTTGCCTTTACTCACGAGGAAACTAAAGCACAAAAAATGTTATATAACATAAGAGGGTCACACAACCAGTTAGTTATCCATTTGGTGAGCAGTGATTCTTGCCAGGGGAGTACATCCTTATCATCATTGGAAGTTTAAAACAAAACGAATGCCCAAGTCTCAGTCTTGGATAGCTTATCTAACTAGGATGGACCTGAGTACCGTCAGTTTTTTTGTTTTTCATGATCCACACATGATTTATATGAGCCCTCTGATAATGGAACCACCTTACTGTACCTGTACCATACTAACGGAAATTGTGCGAGTAACAGCTAGAAGTAGAAATTAAGTTTTGCTTAATTCACCATCAGTCTAATGGTTTTGAATTTTGTTCTTTCCTGCCTTAGGAAAGCTAAGTTTCTATTGACAGCCAGTAGCAATATAATACGAAGTTAGTAAGGGTATTACCACCAGAAGTTTTTTTTTGTCTAGAAATGGGAAATACTCTCAGGCATGGTGGCTCACACCTATAATCCCCCTTTGGGAGGCTGAGGTGGGAGGATGGCTTGAGGCCAGGTGTTTGGGACCAACCAGGGCAACATAATGAGTTCCCATCTCTATAAAAACTAAAATAAAAGTATATTAGCAGGCTTGGTTGCGTGCACCTGTAATCCCAGCTATTCAGGAGGCAGAAGGATCACTTGAGCCTAGGAGTTTGAGGTTACCTTGAGCTATGATGCTGCTGCTATACCCTAGCCTAGGCAACAGAGCAAAACCCTGTCTCAGAGGAAAACAAAGAAATGGGAGATAGTGAATTTTTAAATTAAGTGTTCTCTATGTATGCACAAAAATCTTGTAATAGCTAACACATGAATTAATAAAACTGAAGAGCCAAAAATCTTAAAAATTAATCACTACCCCAACATTTAATATAAAAAATGAGTTGAATTATATACTTTAAGTGAGTGAATTGTATAGTATGTGAATTATATCTCATTAAGGCTGTTTAAAAAAAAATCACTACTGTGGCTCAAAAGAGTAGGGTGCCAGCCTGGAGGTTGGTGGGTTCAAACCTGGCCAAAAAAAAAAGAAAATTACTACCAGCACATTATACCCCATGATTGCATTAATGTACACAGCTATGATTTAATAAAAAATTAAAAAAAACACTACCATAAATACTATATTGTGATCCATAGTTTATAGTTTTCTTATTGAAGAAATGAAAGAAATTTGCCTCTTGGCCGGACATAGTGGCTCACCCCATTATTCTAGCTCTCTGGGAGGCCAAGGAAGGAGGATCTCTTGAGCTCAGGAGTTCGAGACCAACTTGAGCAACAGTGAGACCCCATCTATACTAAAAATAGAAAAATTACCCAGGCATTGTGGTGGGTGTGTATAGTCCCAGGTACTTGGGAGGCTGAGGCAGGAGGATCTCTGGAAACCAGGAGTTTGCTAGTTTGCTATGAGCAAGGCGGATGCCATGGCACTCCAGCTTGGAGAAACAGAATGAGACTCTGTTTCTAAAAACAAAATTGCCTCTCTAAAGCTTCCAAATGATTTTTTTTTTTTTTGAGACAGACTCATTATGTCACCCTTGGTTGAGCCCCATGGCATCACAGCTCACAGCAACCTCTAACTCTGGGCTTAAGCAATTCGCTTGCCCCAGCCTCCCAAGCTACTTGCTCTCAGTGCAAGTAGCTGAGACTACAGGCGCCTACCACAACCCCTAGCTATTTTTTGTTGTTGTTGTTGCGGTTGTCATTATTGTTTTAGCTGGCCTGGGCTGGGTTTGAACCCGCCAGTCTCGGTGCATGTGGCTGGTGCTGTAACCACTGTGCTAGAGGTGCCAAGCCCCAAATGATGTTTTTGATTTGAATTGCTTATCAATGTGTACACAATTAATTTTTGCCTAGCATACTCTTGAAATCATATTAGCCCATAACAAAAGAAATACAACCACTTAGGTATGACACTAGAAGTTACTAATATTTTGATTTCATAAAGTATTTTTATGTCCATTGACTGTCCCTTCCCCAACTATCCTGGTGTTAATATCGTCCACATTTTAGAAATCATGAGACTCAGGAAAAAAAAATAATAAAAAAGAAAGAAATGATGAAACTGGCTAGACACAGTGGCTTATGCTTGTAATCCTACTCTAGGAGGCCAAGGCAGGTGGATTGCCTGAACTCAGGAGTTTGAGAGAAGCCTGACCAAGAATGAGACACCACCCCCCAAAAATAGCTGGGCATTGTGTAGCAGGTGCCTATATTCCCAGCTACTTGGGAGGCTGAGGCAAAAGGATTGCTCAAGCCAAGAGTTTAAGGTTGCTGTGAGCCATAACACCACTGCATTGTACTGAAAGTGACAAAGTGAAACTCTGTCTCAAAAAAAAAAAAAAGAAAAGAAAAGACAAGAAATGATGAGACTAAAGTTTGTAAGATTAACACCATGCCTTAGGCCACACTACTATGTATGAAGTGAGCTTGGGCCAAAGACTTGTTACAGGCAGTACCCAGATTACAAACAAGATAGTTTCTGTAGGTTTGTTCTTAAGTTGAATTTGTATGTAAGTTGGAATAGGTACATTTACTTATTACCTGTAATAGCCTCTGTAAGTGTGAGTTGTACATCCGTCGCATGTTTGTAACTTGGGGACTTACTGTAATGGCCCCCATTCATAAGTATGAGTTGTACATAACTCAGATGTTTGTATCTCAGGGACTGCCTGTATTTGGCTTTTGCCTCTATTTCACACTGCCTTTCACAATCAGGACTTTTCATTGTAATGTTATTATTTTTCCATTCTCTGAACTCCTCTGTTTCTAGCAGTCGGTTTCCATACTTATACCCACTTTTCCACATAGAGTACAGATTGCCAAGGCTAGGGCTGCTGAAGACATAAATCATTTGGCTCTGCAATATTAGTATTGGATTAAAACCAAAGACAAGTGGCAAAATAACACATGGTGAAAGCATGGGCTATGTTTCTATGATGCCAGGCAGAGTTGAATTAATTCTTTGAGAGGAGGTGTGAATACCCATGTATAATGATTCTTTAACACAACTGTGAGCAAAATATTTTGTCATATCCCCCTGCGTTGTTAGGCTTGGTCTGCCATCTGCCATTCTTGCATTGACTGCTTAAAGCATCCATAAGTACTAGGGACTTACAAGAGGCCACAGATTTGTCAGTGAATGGCAGAAACTTGTCACAAATTTTCTTAGGCACCCTCCAAGGAATTTTTTTTTCCTTTTCATATTTATGGAATTCTTTTGTTTTACCTTATAAATCTAAATTTTTCAGGATAAATTATTTTAATTAGAGTGAGTTTAAGAAAGCAGGAAAGTAGTAATAAAAATTAAGATTTCTATGCAAAATGATTAAAACTTAAAAGTCTCAGTGGAAGAAAGGATAATGATTTCTTATCGGAAATACTAAGTCACTTGGAAAAACACTTTTATTTTGCACTCATATGCACTCATTTGCACTCATTTGCACTCATTTTATTACAGAGTGTATGGACATTTTTTAATCTCTGAAGGAATAAAGATAAATACCACAAAAAGAGTATGAGTGATTGTTTGAAGTAAGCTATCCGAAAGCCAAATAGTCCAAATGAAAGCAATGTATGCAACTTCTTCTGTAAATCCAAGTTTCTCAACCTAAGCAACCTTGGCCTCTATGCACTAGATGTCAGTACTTCCTTTCTCTCCCTTCCCAGTTGTGTAACTACTAAAAATGTTTCCAGATATTGCCAAATGTTCTCTGGGGGCAAAATCATCCTCAGTTGAGAACCACTGTTCCAAACATATTAGAGAATAGGAGTGAATTAGTAAGATTCTGGGAGAAGATAACTCAAAAGGTGTTTTTGTTTTGTTTTTGTGACGGAGGGCCAAAGATTTTGAATTCATATTATTTTAATCACATGATTTATTATTAAAAGGGAAAGTGGTTCAAAGATTTGCCCTTGTAAGCATCAAAAAATGTTCATGTCTTATGAGAAGAGCCGTTTGTCAAGTTTGTTTCGTAACCATTCCACAGAAGAAATCAGGCTTAATTCCTTTTTCCTAGAATATATTTTTAGGTTCCTGAAATCACCAGAAAATAAACAGATCTTTATTTCAAAAAGTCTTCATGGATGAAACCAGACTTAACCCTTTTTTCCCCCTCCATTGACTATATTTCAGGTTCTGGAAACTAAAATATTGCAAAATTAACAGGTTTTCAATTTCTTTTCTTACTTTATTCTTGTCTCTCCCGAATTTAGCATTTATGGAACATACTCATTAATACATTTTAGCTTTTCTGTTGAGGGTACATTTAGCTTTCTCATTACCTTCTGTGCGTTAGCCCACTAGACACTGTAATTTGAATGTGTTCTGGATTCACAGTTACTTTCCTGGTGACTTTAAAGTAGTGCAGTGGCTCTTGCCTTCACTATTCTTCCCTCTTCCCATTCTCACACAACAGCAGCTGTTGATTCAGCAGACCGGAGTCCTCGGCCAACCTCTGCACCAGCCATTGCTCAGGGTCAGGTCACAGAAGGCAGTGTCCCGGGGGCACCCATCAAAAAGGCGGTGGTCCCTAAAGCACAGAAGGAAACAGTGAAGGCTGAAGTGAAAAAGGAAGAAGAACCACTTGAACAAGCTGAGCCAGAACCCACAGAAGCCTGGAAGGTATGTCCTAAGTCCAAATATCTAGCTAATCTACTTTATGCTTTAGAGGTTTTAACCCCTTGACCAGGAAAGTTTTCAGAGCAATTAATTATTCTTGTAGAATCCTAACAAGATTATTATTCTTGTTATTACTGATTCTTTCTGAATGAAGACTTATCTCCCATGGACCTGTACAATATTTTCACAGAATTATGTCAATAAGACGATAAGCTATCCTAGAAGTTTTCAGGTGACCTTCACCATGACCCCCCCAACTTACTATTTAAAAAGTGGGTTTATAAAACACACCAGCATAGTCAAGCATCTGTTGTTTTAAAAATAACTTTTACTCTTCCAGAAGGAATCTCCACATTGCTTTCTAAGAGGAAGCTCTGCTATTGTGATTAAAATATAATTCGATTTTATAAGATAGATTATGCACAGTTCCAAAGAACAGGTGCTTTAGAAAGCACATCTATGTGGTTGTTCAGATCTTAAGTAGCTTTATAAAAAGAGGAAGATCTGTTACGTAGGAGTGGTTTTACTGCTGAGTTGCTTATGGTTTTGAGTTGATTCTACCCACAGTCATTGCACTGTGTTGCAAAGTCACGAATTTAAGTGGCAGATTTCCCAGGAATAACAATAATTATACTGATCTTTCTAGATTTTGATAAGCTTTTTAAACACATCCAAGCAGTGATGAAATTGAGGTACTAGTTCAGATTTAGTATAATACAGGTCCTATTGTGGCAAACAGGAGTTAGAGAAGCAGTCTTCATAAAAAGAATTACAATTTTATATGTCTGTTAAGAAACTTAAAACCAGGGTGCCTATGGCTCAAAGTAGGGCACTGGCCCCACATGCTGGAGGTGGAGGGTTCAAACCCAGCCCTCGCCAAAAACTGCAAAAAAAAAAAAAAAAAAGAAAAGAAACTTAAAACCATATGAAATCTTAGTAAGTGTTCTCACCTTGGTGGATGGATTAGTCCTGTTCTTTTGGAGAGCCAGATCAATATCTAGTTTATCTATAGAGCAGTGGACAATCTAACTCTTGTTTTAACTGTATTAAAAAAAAACCAAAAAACTGTTAAACATGGCATACAAATTTACTATCATTGGGGGACTACCATGAGTCCAGAGAGAAAGGAAGATTGAGTGAATGTTGGGTGTTTTCATTGCTGTGCCTAGCCAAACATTCATGACATTGGCTATCGGGCTCAGTGTAAACAATGCCTTAATATTAGACTACCTTCTCAGTTTTTAATGTTAGAATATCTCACCCAGCACTTTTGACTATACTAACTAATGGATTACTAGAGTTGTCAAGGGAATCTTCCTGAGTGGCTTAGATTCCTTTAGCTTTCTGCTAACTTACCTGTTCTTGTATGGCCTGTAAGCTAGACACAAGTATATTCCAAAATAAGTTCTCTTTGCTTTTGGGACCTCAGCAGAGTTAAGCAATCACTACCTAGTATATGCTTTTCACTGAAGTCCCCATATTGGGTCTTCTTGCCAATTAATTCTATATAAACATATTCATGTATCTCAAAGTGAGACTAAATGCCAACTCTGATAACCTATTATTCTAACACTAGTGGCAGAATTAAGAGTTACTCAGAGATTTTATTTGTGCAATTAGAAAATAATTATGGCATTTACCTGAAGCCATATTTATTAGATAAGGCAGCAACAGTAATGAAATAGCCTAGTAACTGTATAAATTTTGTTATTTAACATGAGTTTGGTGCCAGATAGAGAAGGTTTTTATCATCTTGGGTCATTTGACAAGGTCTTGTTTACAGGTGTAGAGAGGTAGTGTCTCTTCCCCTTATATATTTTTATTTTATTTAATGTTCTGTTTAGGGCATACTCAGAACAACTGTTGCTATCGGGCCTCATTTCTTAAACAAAAGTAAAATTTCTCAATTTCTTGCTGTTAGACTGCTAAGGACCAATAGCAAAAGAAAAAAAAGTCATTATTCATTTAAGTAAGGCATTTAAGTTTTACAAAATAATTTTAAACTACCATTTGCTCAGTGTAACATTCAGGAAGATATTATCTCCATTTCATCAATAAGAAAATTTAAGCTCAGAGAGATAAAATAACTTGTTAATGGCCACACAGCACGCGCACTGGGACCCAGGGTAGAAATGATCCAAATTATTAATTAACGTGGTAGTTAAAAGTGCTGTAGCTGTACTTATTGTAAGTGTCACACAGTTTGGTATTATCTTATGTTTTTAAATTCAGTCCTAAAGAAAAAAGCACAATGACCTTATACTCCAAAGTAATACTGCTTAGTGTGATTGAAAAGAATGTCAAAACTGGCTTAGCGCACGTAGCACAGTGGTTATGGCGCCAGCCACATACACCGAGGTTGGCGGATTCAAACCCAGCCTGGGCCAGCTAAACAACAATGATAACTGCAACAAAAAAATAGTTGAGCGTTGTGGCAGGTGGCTGTAGTCCCAGCTACTTGGGAGGCTAAGGCAAGAGAATCACTTAAGCCCAATAGTTAGAGGTTGCTGTGAGCTGTGATGCGACAGCACTCTACCAAGGGTGACATAGTGAGACTCTTTCTAAAATAAAAAGAATGGGGTGGTGTCTGTGGCTCAAAGGAGTAGGGTGCTGGCCCCATATGCCGGAGGTGGCAGGTTCAAACCCAGCCCCGGCCAAAAACTGCAAAAAAAAAAAAAATGTCAAAACCATAAATTGATGAGGTTCTATAAAGAACTTAATGATACAAAGTGGTTGATTTAACCCTTAATAAAAGCTATCTGTATTCTAATTTGTAATATCTGATGCTTTAGACATTGCTCACTCTATTTTGCTTTCTCTTAATAGCCTGTTTTTAATATTTACTCCATTTTCTGTATATAAAATGACATTACTAAAGACATTTCAAAGTGAGGCCAGAGGACTTAGCTTTTCTCTTTCTACTATTAAGGATGAATCTTGCTCTTCTACATGGGCTCCAATTCCCTAGAGAGATTAGAGTGTTGAATGTTTCAGCTGAGTCCTGTGTGCGCTTATTTATAAATCAGCCCTGGGAGTAATTGCATGTGTCAGTCATAATTTGGATTGAATTTATTTTGATGTTTTTGTTGTGTAATAAACTAAAGGGTGACACTGCTTTCTGTATAGAATAACTAACCAATCTTTTGTATTTGCCAGTTTGGTGTCCTTTGTGGTTTAATACATGTGTGTTTTGACTGTAAAGATTTTCTTTGTATCTCTAACTATGATGTATGTCATATATTGATATCTTCATCCATAAATTTGTTTTTAAATGCTATTTAAAGTAATTCCAGATGATCAAAAAACAAAAGGAAAATAAAAACATGGCTATAGAATTAAATAAGCCTAAATTATTTTTAGCAAGTACGTTTTTATAAACACGTGTAAAAATGTTTTCTTCATTGATAGAATAATTACCCTAATTTTCTTATTTGATAATTTGGATATCCGTATTACCTCTTCAGCCTGGAACATGTGATGGTAAACTAACAGATTGCTTTTGGAAGTAATATCCTTCTCTCCATAAGACTGCATCTTTATGATTACATATCCACTTAAAGATGCAGCTTATTTTAAAGCAATACTCTTCATAGAAGCCTACTAACCTAAAATGTTTTTACCACTTTATTTCTTAAATGTAGGTGGAAAAAACCCACATCGAGGTCACAGTCCCCACCTCAAATGGTGACCAAACACAGGTTTGTGCCAACAAGCCACTTGTTTCCTTTTCCCTCCACCCCTCAGTTTTTTCTTTTCCCTTACTCCCTTATCCTTAAAATAAATTATAAAATGAAGGTTCAGACAAACTTCAATGAGCAAATATTTTATCATTTTTCTTTCTTTTTAAAATTATGGCGAAACAGAAGCTTGCAGGAAAAGCTGAAGATCTGATAAGAATGAGGAAGGTTAGCCGTTTCTCACTTTCACAAAACTACATTGCCATTTCACCCATGCTAACTTACAGTGCATTAAAAAGACAGTGATCTATTCTTTTCATTGATTTCTTTTAAACAGAAGTTACTTTCAAACAACAAATATGAGATATATATGTGTGTGTGTGTGTGTGTACAGACACACACATATGTACAAAGAAATTATAATTCTGTACTATATATTGAAAGATTTCATTAAAATAAACTTTCTAGTAGGAAAATATCTTTTTAAACAAAATGAAATAATCAGTGAGGGTCAAACCTATCTTTTATATATAATTTTTGGAACTATTTCACAATGGCATTATGTTCATGGAATCACTGACAGTATTTTATATACATTTATCATAAAACCATCGTATGGCTCAGCGCCTGTAGCTCAGTGGTTAAGGCGTCAGCCACATACACAGGGACTGGAGGGTTCGAAGCTGGCCTGGGCCTGCTAAACACAACAATGACAACTACAACAA